TAAGTTATCAAATACCTGAAATAAATAAATTATCATTATAAGCAATAATTTTTATAATAAAATATATACTGTTTTATTTATTTAAACTTTATTACAAACGCTTATAATAAATGTATAATAGTATAGTAAAAATTAAAATACAGAGGCGAGAATTTTAGAATAAAAAGAGATGTCTTGTTCCTTGAACCTAAAGTCAAAGAAGTGTCAATATCAGCAGATAATACGGTATAATATGTTATAATTTTTTTTTTATAACATAGAAGGCAAACGAGCATAACTTAACCTGATGATCAGTGATTACCGCCGCCCATAAGCACTCGCAACATCAGAGAAATCGCAGATATTACCGGCCTTTTAGGAAAGAATATGCTATAAATAGATTACAATAAAAAAAGAACTAGACTAAATAATTTCGTAATTTCTTTCGACAGTAAATTACGTTTATTATTCAATCCATATCAGTATATATTTCCTAAGAATATTTAGTATGTACAAGAAAATATTTTTGATCTCTTTTCTATTAAGCGTAAGATAATAATCCAAGTTTAAGTGCGAGTACATGACACACCAAGACACCATTGAAACATCACCTTTCACAAAATAACTTCGCACGCTCGCACAAACTATAAAAAAGTGTTTCTGTAAAAACGAGATGCCGACTGAGTATTATTAAGATATTCATCACAGCATTAAACGCTGTGAGGCGGCCGTACGATGAATTTGTCATTCATGTTGCCAGCAGTTTAGATTTATGGATACAATGTTAATGAAATTTCAAGAGATATGCGAAATTATTTTTCAGTTTGTATACATATATAAAAGGATAGAACTATACGATGAAAGTTCATTGTTTCAGACTAAATATATAATATTCTTTTTGTAATATTTATAAATAGATTCGTTTTAGGTGTTAGTGTGCAACATGCGATACATTTTTATACATTTAGTAATCACAGTGTAAGGTTGTCTGGAAGAGAGTGCTTAGCTATAAGGCCGCCTTTTGTATCACTTCTCATTAGAATTAACTATATTTACTATTTCTATAAATGCAATAAAGTGTAAGTAAATAAATAATCACAGTATATAAAAAATGTAATACTTTATTTTTAAAGTTTCGTACACACAATGTTTATTACAAAGTGTTATTTAAGTTTTTGCTAGCTACTCGCCGCAGTTTTGGTAGTGAATTATTTCCCAATTTTCTTATAAATTTTGTGAAATTTCATTCTTGTTATTGTTAAAATGAGTTATATTTATAAGAAACCCCATGAAAAATTCATATTTCAAGATAAAATAATACTTGTAGGTAGTGTAGTTTTGATTTACATTAGTACGTTTATCAATCAGTCAGTCACTTTCTCTTTTATATATATTGTATCTATGGCGTTGTTGAAGCTTGATGAAATTTATAGTTTAATAACAATTTTCAATATAAATTACTGGAAATCTCATATAATATCATAAATAATAGTGGAATAGCGATCAAGATAGAGACAAATAATATTTAAATGAAAATTATCTCTTGTGTTATACACATGAACAGAATATACATTTCTGTTCACTTAGAACCACTGTCTGGCTCATCGGCTCATATTTCGTCTAAGACGCACTAAATTATAAAAAAAAAAATTTAGTCTTTTTAATTGCACCTGTGAACGTTCCAACGTTTATATTTCGTAGGTTTTGACTGGAGCTTACTATAAATATCTTCCATGTTATTTTATACACAAATGGCGGTCAAAACAGAAAACATGCCAATCAAGAGCGAATATTACCTGAGTCGTGACCAGTCTATGTTCAGTCGACATACTTCAATACAAATTACTTTTACTTATTTCATATTATTCACGCTAAATGTAGAACAATAAAGCAGGTGAGCACGTAGCAAATGCCCACCAATTGGATGGACAACAACTATTTTGTAGTTACAATTATAGTAGTTTCACTTTCCAAAGATATAGTTCGGTAAATCGTAAAAGTTTATTTATTTATATAGAGTACGAATTAACTAATCAATATTAGTTGGTTTTTTTTTCTATTTAACAAAGTCTCATGTCCTGTGCAGACGTGGAGTTCTGGGAAGTTGTTTTTTATATTTGCCATGTCTGCTCAGATTTTATACGAGAGACAATCTACTTTAGCGTATATTTTTGTTTGGTCATAATGAAATACCTAAAATTATATGTATGCATAAATGTTGTGGAAGTATTCAGTTATACAATATAAATAATGGAAATTTTACAAAAAAAAAGGGCCTTCTTTATCATGGACATAATATCTATCGTTTCAGATTATTGCACGTTATGATTGTGACAGATTTAAATTCAACGTTATACTCGTAAACCACAGATAATTATATAAATAATTTAAATATTACATTTATTTTATATTTATTTATTTATTTAAGGGAACACCAACAACATATTGCATTATAACATATATAACAAACATTAAATATAATACAATATTAATGCACATGCCTATTTTAGGTATTCACAGCATTTACTTTAAGGTAGTTATACAGTGCGAGAAAATGAAGTAACAATTATAATGAATTAATTTATTTTAATTAAATTAAAAATACATAATTTAAATAGACTCATTTCAAGGGCTGACTTCATTTCTTATTTTCCTACGTTCAAAACGAAGAATCTTTAACGGTCTTGTGCTCTATTTTTCAATGCAACACGACCTCTAATGAACTGCACGCTTACTTTGTAACCTGGCCAAATGGCAGTAGCTAAATAACAAAAGGAGGATGCATACGCGACACTGTAATCTTTATATAGTATTTTGAGCTTTATAAACGCCAGGTCAAGGTCTATTTCACTAAGCAGAATGAGAACATTACAAACTCAAATGTGTATACCAATTCCATACAATTTTGATTTTTATAAATACAAAAGTCAAGGGTATATTTTTATTAAGTAAATAATGTTATTACAATCTAAATCTATTATTTACTTTTATAAAAGACTACAAGCATCTTATAACGAGAATATAGTACTAGTACTTTTAGTAATACTTTTACTATTTGCTATATATACATAAACGAATTTTTTAAATTCCTTGTGGAGCTGAACTTTTCCAAACTGACACCGGTTTAGGTGACTTAAAAAGATTATTTGGGAAATTATTATAGGTTATTTTATTTAGTTTTATTTATTTATTTATGCAGTCAATCATGCAGGCAATTATGCAGGCTTAATTGGTAGTTGGGCACTGTAATAAACGGCGGAGGCCCCGTAAGTCTAAAACTTGAAATTCTCAATGCAAGCTTAATCTAATTCACGTTAGGAAGCGTAAATAATTGTGGTGGAATTAATCAAGGGTAAATCTGTAGATCTATCCAACCTATATATAAAAAGTAAAATTGATTAACTGAATTCTAAATAGCTGGATTTAGCATTTTTTTCTAACATATAATTTATCACAGAATTTATTTAGCTTTCTAAATTTCAAGAGAGACATAATTTATTTATCCTCATAAAAATTATTTTAAAACTAAAAATCTAAACTAGTATTACAGAGAAGAAAGATTTAATTCTTTTATCTGTAATTGACTATCTTAAAAAATATTTAACCGATTTTAAAAATCTTTCACCTATAGAAAATTACGATATCAGTGAGTAACATGAGCTGTTATCATTGTCATATTAACCTTTAAATGTCCACTGCTGAACATAAGTCTCGCCTTTGGAGGGTTTTACCAGTAGTTACCACGATTGATAGGCGGATTAGCAACCGCAGTCAGGTTCTAGAAATATTTTAAGAGACACAACTGTCTATCCCTCGCCCTCCCTTAGTCGCCTCTTACGACATCCACAGGGAAAGGAAGAGGTGGCATATTTATTTAACACTTTATTGCACCAACATTACAGGATTTGTAGAACAATTTTCAATAAGTGTAGTGTAGCAGAAAAGGCGGTCTTATTGCTAAGCAATCTCTTCCAAAAAACCTTTATATATACATATTCTATGCCGGGACGACACGGCCAACATGAGCTGTATTTTTTTAAATTAGTGATCACTAGTATATTATGATATAAAGTATTTAGATTAAAGTAATCTAGATGAATTTGTTGACGCATAATTAATATCAATAAAATGTTTTATATTTTAAGAAGCCTAGGGTACTTTTTTTTATTTTTACCAAGAGTGCATGATTTTATCATCATAAAATTCATTTATAATATACTCAATAGTTTTGTAGATTTGATCATAGAGTTCCCAAATTATATTAAGTTTAGAATACCAGATAAACATAACGGTAAACCTGTCGGCGAGTTTGTACTTTTGAGATTGACGCGGCCCTAATAACAGGCTATCGTGCGATGTCTATCGCTAACTGTTCTTGATTGAACATTGCAGAGATTTGATGGCTAATTGCAAGCGATATGGTCTTCGATACGATTGAAACGAAATGGTGGCTAAAATTAACAAATTAATTCCTGGGATTAAAACATACGTTAACAAGTTACGTTCAGAAGCTGTAAGGAGCAATATCCTAAACACAAAATATAACAAATATAGATTAGGTATAATTATAATGATTTTTTGTAATGAAGTTTGAGCACGTCATCATACTCTGATGTAGTACCTTAAGTATTATATACAACCCATTAACTAAAATAATGTGGATTCATTACAGTCCAGCTAGACCCCAATAATGATTTAAAATTCTTTCTTTAGTGATTACATAGAAATCCAATAGAAATACGAGTAGGCATCGATGTAAGAACTAAATATGACACACATTCGTTTATTTTAATAATAATCGCGTCCTAAATCTTTGCGTTAGCATAATTTCCATAGTATTAACATAGTCCTACCCTCATATTTAAATAGTGAATGTACTTGCGAATTTCGTAGCTGTGCCTTAGTGAGATCTTACTTTATTAAACGACACAATCACGAATTCCACCCACGATTCGCCACTCCATCAAAGATAAACATTCACTTTGTATATACGTACCAACTATAGGTATGCGTGACTCCGGGCGTCCGTTAGTGCACGTACAGGTTGGTATTGGGTTGTACCTGATAGTGTGATACGCTCAGTAAATGACTATTATCCGTTTATTTTAAAAAGTTTATTTTCTAATAATAACAAAATAGAGAGCTATAATATTTTCTGCATTGGTATTAAAGCAAACATGTAAACAGGATATAAATCTGCTGGTAAATTTGCTTGGATATCAGTTAACACAATGTCTAGTTGTGCTTCTTTAAATATTCTTATCATGAGATTACATGAACGCGTCACCGAAGAATCATCATCATCATATTCCAGTTCGTTATATGTAGTAATGTTTTCTTTAACAATAATTATGCCATTTTCATTTAGTGCTTCTCTACATCTCTCTAAAAATCCTATTAGATCATAATCATTTAAGTGTCCGAGCACCCATTGACACCAAATAACGTCATACCTTTTTTGTGGTTTAAAATTCTGAAGTCCGATTTTGTACACTGTTCCAAGATTGGCATTGTCTTCGCCGATCAATTGTTTTGCAGTGTTAATGAACTTTTCGTCTTGTTCGACTAAATCGACCTTTTCGAATTGAGGAATTAAAAGGTTTTTTGTCACTCTTCCTATGCCTGCGCCACAATCTAAAGCAAGTTTGGAATCCGGATGTTTATCGAGTTCTTTAATTTTATTTAAAAAATCCCTGGAGCCGACGATGTCAATATCGGAAATGTGACCAAAACCGCCCAACACTCCATCTATGGTAGCTGGTACTTTAGCCCAATAACAAGCGGCTCTTGTGTAGAATTTATTTTCCATTGTCATTTTTCTATAAATTATATTTATTACCTTTTCAATCATTGTATCAAATTTGATGTGACATTTTATGTCATTTTATGCTACTTTTTTGTTAATGACTTTTACGGCTTTGGGATCTAGCCCTTTACAGCATATATTCTACTGTCACTGAATTTATTAATAAATTACAACATTTTATAATATTCCTAAAATTAAACAGTGTTTGTAATACATTTAAAAATTAATAGAAATTTTTCTCTTTGAGGCTACAAAACTGTTCTAAAATTTAGAGATAAATTTAATCTGTATAAAGATTCTATGTAAGAGTATTAATGTTTATACTAAAAAGTAGAACTAAGATACAAATACATAAATAAATGCCGTAGTTTTAAAATTCTATAGTTGTGAGCTAAGTGATTTAGTAGACACTCCATCTTAATAAAATCGTCAGTAGTCGTGACTTAGTTACACAAAAAGAATATAAATTTGTTAAGGTAGGCTAGGTATAACTGAGAAGTTTTGCAGGAATTTAAATTTGGGGTAATATGGATAAATCAAATAAATACAGGCATGTACGAGTATGGATGATTAATATGACAAACAAATGAAAGTGTCGTATTTATTGTTGCAGGCTCTCATCACAGCCGTAAATGAGACCCCCGAGGAAGATATCCGAGATGCCTTGAGGGTTCAGACTGAGCAGCAACTGGCGTTGGTACCACGAGGTCCAACAGTGGTCAGAGACACTGTCGCTTATAACACTACCATCAATACAGATGACACGGTGAGTCGCGTTTACTCTGAGAAGTTTCTCACGCATTATTTTTTTGTTTACATTTGATAATTTTCATTATTACATTAAATATTTAGTGCCTTGTCTGTGTTACTAATTTAATTTCGCAACAAGTAATTTTTTGCACTGTAAAGAAAGGCGGCGGCATCAATTGTTATAAAATTAATTAAACTATCACGAAAGTAAACCTTATCGATTATAAATTATATAAAAAATCTGATTTGTCGATGAAACTGAGTAAAATAATCGCAAATAAATCTGATTAATTCAGAACCGCCTTCAAAGACTCTTTCAGTGATTGCCGACTTTAATTAAAAGTCGAATTCAGTTTAGTATTAGCAAAGATATCCTGTTAAATACACATAAAAAAATAGTAAACTGAGTAAGTTCTTTTTTTGAAAATCTTTTAAAAAAATTTCGTTTTAAAAAAATTTAGAAAAAAGTTTTAAATTAAAACACGTATATGTACAAAAATACAAAAGCTCGAGTGGGAACAACAACTACTTTATTACTGTAGTACCCACATATATATTTACTTTATAATTACTCACGACAATATATGTATCTAAAACAATAATAGATTCATAGTACCACAGATAATATAACATTATGTAATATTTACACGGTCTTAAATATGCAGGAGGAACTGCGAGCGTTGCGACCGGATGGGACGATCGTGACTGAGACTCGACACACGAAAGAACAAGAACGACTTTGCGACGAAGAGTTGTCAAAAGACGAGGTATGTTACAGGCTCCTGTATGGATGCTTTACACTTCTTAGCTAGAATTTTTCCGTCAATTTTATTCGTTACTTTCTAAATTGTAGATTTATAAAACTTGACAGAAAAAAGAGATATTACTAGACAAATCGTCAGTTTGATTAGAATTCGTAAAGATTTAAAAAGCTACTTAGCTGAAATATGTTCTCTAAAGTTACATTACTGACATTAGCGGATTTACATATTTGCCGCCAGTAGGCTGTTAAAATTAAGCTTAGTTCACAATTATATTTATTAATTTTTTTGTTACTACCCGATAATATATATATTTTTTTATGGGTGATAATGGAATGGTAACCCCACGAGCGCTATCGGTCTACACCGGCGGGGCACCAGTGAAGGATGATAGGTGAGGATGAAGCAGGCCAGTTAGCCCATCGTGACGAATTCAACAAGAATTGTTCACGATGGTTTCCAAGGGGAACCACGTGAAGGTCGACCTGATAGGGCATATTGCTAGCAATGGGGCTGTCAAATTCCATTGCTAACAACCCCTTTCCCGCCATCCGATAATATTAAAAAAACATAATATAGACATCGATTGTCATTGGTACAATATTCTTATTTCTGCAGGCGAAGTCGCTGGCAAGTGACAAAAGTTTTGTAGAAGAGACGGGCGGTACCGAGCGAAGAAAGCGGGTGGATCTTGAACGGAGCACAGATCTCATGGCGGGTGGCTTGCGCGTCGCTACACAGCTCCACTCCCGTACACGCACTGAAGAAGGTACATAGGAATTTTAAAATAAATCAGTAAAATTAACTATAATCTTATTACAATGCGGTAAGGTTCATAATGGAATAGTAATTTCGGTACCATTAAAAAATGATTATTTTAATAGTAGTTAATACTGACTATAATGTTAATATTAATTTTAATTCATCATTATAACATTATGTAACAAGTAATATTTTACAGCCGAGAGAGAAGGAAGACCAAATATGGATGATGATTGGGACAGTCTCTCAGTTCGTATGCGACGACAGCGCCGTCTTCGTCACAACGGTAAGTTTATAAAACTTTTAATTTTACTATTACATATTAGATGGCGCAGAAGTACTTAAAATGTTCAACAAGTTAATCGTCTTGATACTAGATGTCGCCAGTAAAGCATAAAAAGCACAACACTATTATTTAAACTAAAATATAGATGGCGATTACCGTAAGTTAATTTTAGTATAATGAGTTATAGATAATATGTTTTACTTCAGAATCACGTTCAAGTAGCAAACAAGATTAGGACTTGTTGTCTAATCTCTTTGAGAAAATATCTCATAAAGACGTTACATCAATAAAAGTTTATGATTGTAAGCTGAAACTAGTCAAGTTGTACTTGTGAACATTTATCTAAGCAAACTTTTATGTTATTTGCTGTTCACTGCTTAATATAGGCTTCCCCCTATTGGGTGGTTTTGCCAGTAGTAGTCACGCTTGGCATGCGAATTGGCAACCGCATTTAGGCTTTGGTAATATATTAAAAGGGAAGCTATTGCCCATTCCTCGACCATTAGGTTTCTTTAGTAGCCTCTTACGACACCCACGGGAAAGGAAGGGGTGGTCTAGTCTGTGCTAGAACTAACAGTAATATAGATTTCTATGTAAAAATAAACTTATGTTAAATACCATTAATATAATTTTATGTGTAAGCACTAAGGTTATAATATTGATTTGGTTTTTACTGTCATGTTATAATTTTTTTTTATACAACTTAGAATGGCAAACAAACTGACGGCCCACCTGATGGAAAGTGTTAACCATCGCATATAGACATGAGCAGTACCATGGACATAACAGAGTATACTGTTTCGCCCATGATACCCCCCATGCGTTGCCATTCCTAAGAACTCAGGTGTTACTCTGTACCCAGTAAATTCACGCCATATCCCACCCTTCAAACCGAAACACAGCCATGCAAACACAACTGCTTCACGTTTGAAACACGAATGGGACAGAGGTACCCAAGCAATCGATTTTTGTACAAAGTCTCCCTCTGGTAAATAGTATATAATCAAATGTATAGATACCTATGCTATGAACGCATATACTTGTAGCTACTCCTCGTATTTACAACCAAAATTATTTATTACTTAAAAGGATAAAAACAATTTAGACATCTATGTTTTTTCTTACAACGAATTCCATTAGCTAGATTAATGTTATCAAATTTGTTAAACATTAAAATAAATAGGTACACGAAAATTGGATAATCGCTCTAGCGTTCGCATAATTAATGACACAGCATATTATCAGATTATGCTAAAACTGGAAGATGCTGCTATATCTATCCTCGATCGTTATGTTAATGGACTAACGTTTGTGACCATTTTAGTGTAAAGTTGTCGGCCTTGGGCCACGATCGTTCCGCGTCCACAACAGTTCTATAAGTTTTGTGATAAAAAGTAATTAATATATTAAAAATATTCTTTTTTTGAAATAAAAAAAATATATATATACAAAATATTATCATATAATATGCTATGCTATAAATATAGTTTTATAATTGTAAAATAAAACTTACATAGGACAATTAGTGGGACGTGTCAAATACTATATGACTTTGAATTTTATATTTGGTGATAGTTGTTTTAAGTTTTTTATTAAACTAAAATATTCAAACAATAATCAGGTAGGTGTTGTTAACAATATGTGTAATATTTTTGTGTTCAGAAACTATACGTCATATAATTATTTAAGAATATAAATGAAGTAAAATTTGAAATGGTTGTGGCATATTTATTATTATCATCATTATATCAGCCTTTAACTGTCCACTGTTGAACATAAGCCTACCGTTTGTTTGCCAGTAGTTGCCATGCTCAGCAGGCTGAATTGCCTGTTATATTTTAAATAATTTTATACGTTGATCTACTTTTACTACCAGAGGGAGACTTTGTACAAAAGTCGATTACTTGGGTACCTCTGTCAGATTCGTGTTTCAACCGTGAAGCAGATGTGTTTGCATGGCTGTGTTTCAGTTTGAAGGGTGGGATATGGCGTGAATTTACTGGGTACAGAGGAATAACACCTGAGTCCTCAGGAATGTCCTCATGTCTATAAGGGATGGTTGCCACTTTCTATCAGGTGGGCCGCCAGCTTGTTTGCCATTCTAAATTGTATAAAAAAAAAAAAAAAAAACTTTGCTTTATTGAACTCAATAACTTCCATATACATATACTATATTGTTTTCGATTTTTAGATTTACCTCGACTTTTTCATGTGAATGAGATTTGGTGACAATTTGCCAAATTTCGGTTCCTCTCATCTTAAGCTCACGTAATTTATTAACGTAGATATGTAAACACAGATACAAAGTATTGAATGACTGGTGTGAGTTGTGCAAAGATTTACTTTTCGATTGCGTTGGCGGTAGTGAAAACATTGCAAACTTAACAACGCCCCTAGCGGATAGTTTCCGAAACAGATTCCATACAAAATCAATGTAAACGCAATAATAATGTACCGCGTTCGTAATTCACTGTTCATTCTGCATGTTCTACCGCCTGTACAATGGATTGTGCTCAGAGGAATTGTTCAATATGATGCCCACAGCCACTTTCTACCATCGTACGGCTCACCATCGACAGGGAGTTCATCCTCATGTCCTACAGCCTCAATGGTCGTGTACTGCGCGGTTTCAGAGATGTTTCCTCCCACGAACACTCAGGTTGTGGAATGAGCTCCCTGTCGAGGTTTTCCCAAGAGACTACATCATGGGGTTCAAAAGGGGAATAAAGAGGTTTCTTCAGGGTCGGCAACACACGCGTAATACCTCTGTTATTGCAGGTGTTCATAGGCTACGGTAACCATTTACCATTAGGTGGGCCGTATGCTTGTTTGTCACCTCAGTGGTATAAAAAAAAGTTATTAAAATAAAAAAAAATCGCAACCTACAATATTCAATATTGTACTATTCGATATGTTATTACCTGTGGCAAGAGTAACATAAAAAAGAATATATGGATCAACGTGTATACCTGCCAGTTGAAACCTGGCTACTTAATTTTTAATTAAAACCAACCCACTGTTTCTGTTTTGGTATTCAAGGACCTTATTCGTCGTATGCGGTCTCAATCAGGTAGAATCATCAAAATTAAATATGCCGTATAAAGCATTTTACGATCCTTTAGAAAGTGAGGTGAATTCACCTACTATTTGATGTAGTATATAAAATATTTGTAATATAATTAAATATATTCATTTTTTAAAAAAACAACAGTAGCTGCGTTTCTTGTGAGTTCTTCTCAGCTGAAATTGCATTTCGAACTGGGCGGTAGATTCATGAAAAATAACTATTTAAAAATGCTTATTATTTATTTAAGTTTACTTGAATAAAAAAATATTTTTATTTATTGTATTACTAGTCGTTTCCCGCAACGTTGCTCGCTTCTATGTAGTTCTCGTATAACATTCCCATTAGGACTTTTCATAAATCCGGTCTTATATTGTATTATATACTTAGATGATAATTACGTATCTAATATCTTCATAAAGTTTCAGCAAATTCAATTGTTCGGTTATTTTGTAACATTTTATATATGATTCTTTAGATTGATATAACTTTTTTATTTATGAACCGATTGAAATAAAACAAACAAAATGTTAAGTGAAATAAACCGCAACGCATTAGTGAAAACCATGTTCAAATCGGTTAAGCCGTTTCTGAGATTAGCGTGTACAAACGTACAGACAAATAGATAAAAATTCTAAAAATCATTGTGGATTCTGTTGGGTTCATAAAGCCTCCCTACAATAGTTTTTCTTATGTGTATATCTTACATGTACAGACAGTGACCAATTACATTTTTATTATATGTATTGATTTATGCATTACCTATTCGGTTGTGAAGGTACTTATAACTCTATAAAAATTAAATTAAATTTAACATTCTAGTATTTACTGAAAGTTCTGATTTTATTCAGATTTATCACATGTGCAATTATGTTCGAAATTTAAAAAGTTTTGAAGGCGTCTGGAGTGGAGAGGGTAAACTTTTTGATACCACGGGGGCTCGTTTCTCTCGGAAAATATACTTAATCAAAAATTCTACCTACGTTATTCTATAAAGTTTTTGAAGATCAAATTTACTGCGCAAAAACTCTTTTTCTGTGACAGTCAGTTTGTAAGAAATGCTCATATAGAATTGAGTAAATGTATTTAATTTTTTTTTCTATTAGGATAAGAAAGCCAAACAAAGTTTATTTGAGCTTTTATTTGCGTAAAACCTTAAAATTATAATTAATACGGCAATATTATGCATGTTTTAAATGTAGTTTAACACGTATTATGCAAGACATTTTGTGTTTTTGTTGATATTAAAAAGCCCATTTATAATTTGTAATTTTGTAGACTAATATTTGATCGTTTTGAATAGTTTAAATCTAGAAGAAGTAAGTGGATAATTATTCAATTATCATCATCATATCAGCCATCATCAGATCTACTGCTGAACTGTAGTTGTCACGCTTAGCAGGCGGATTGGCAAACGCAGTTAGGCTTTCGTGATGTTTTAAGAGGGACGCTGCTGCCCATCCTTTGACTATTAAATTCCTTTAGTCGCCTCTTACGATACCCACAAGAAAATAAAGTGTGGTTCAGTCTATGCCGGGACCACACGGCAATGAATAAGAATTAAGTTTTTTTTTTATTTGAATTTCGTTCTTTTGTCTATCTGCTTCGTCTATTAATATTTTCAAATAATATAGGTGTTTTATTCGTGTTTTAACTGTGAAGCAGTTGTGTTTGCATGGCTGTGTTTCGATTTGAAGGGTGGGATATGGCGTGAATTTACTGGGTACAGAGGAATAACACCTGAGTTCTCAGGAATGGCAACGCATGGGGGGTATCATGGGTGAAACAGTATACTCTGTTATTTCCATGGCACTGCTCATGTCTATAGGCGACGGTTACCATTTTCCATCAGGTGGGCCGTCAGCTTGTTTGCCATTCTAAGTTGTATAAAAAAAAAAGGTTTCCTGAGGTCTAAATTGCTTTTTATTTATTTATTTTTATTATTCAGGGTAATAGCATTTTCTTTTATATTATACTTACTACAAAAGTGTATCAACATCTGTTTATGTTTAAATAAAAGAAAGTTTGTTTTGTGAAAAATAAAAAGTATTTGAAGTAAGAAACATAAAATTACAAATAAATATTGTTACACCGACTAAACAATATTTAATTACTTAGACAGGCTTACTTTTGTTAGACTCTGTTCAGACAATGTTTTATCTTATTTCTGTCATAAAACTGTTATATTCAAATAATATTACTTACAACTTGGAGCCAAGTAGTAATATTTGTAGCAATATACGTCGTAATACCTACGAATAGGTGGGGTTGAATTTAAATATTAGTTTATAGAGTGTTAACCGTAGATAGAGATATGCTGCCCACGGCGCCTAACAAACTATGCGACATGAACATTTAAGGTAACTTGTTATCGCTAATAATTACCTCGCATAATCTTGCTGCTTTGAACAATGTCACTTAGAAGTTGTATTTGCCACTTATAATTTGATGATAATGAATTTATAATTTTGTTTTCGCAATAGATTCGCTGACGAAATACTACTGTATCAGTCAGACGTGATAGGTAAGAAGCTACGTTAGAGGCCTTCATAAATAAACGAAGGTAGCCCAGAAACTCTTGAGACCAGAAGAGTACTATAATAATATATAAGACACGAATAGTAGTAGTAATTGGTCCATCGTGACGAATTCACCAGGCCTAGTATAATATTTTATTATCTGTGACCGGGTATTAAACATTAGGGTCTTCAGGGAGAACGTTTGGACAGCAACTTGACACGCTTGCTGCTTAAATATAAATTCCTTCTTATATTGAGTACTCATGCTAATGAAATACTAGTATCTATATAAATGCTATTTTATTATTTTGGTTTTGGTTTGATCAAGGAAAAATAATTAAGAAATATTATGTTCATAGGTTCTTTTTATTCTACAAATGTAAAGATAAAATAAAAATAGTAAAACTGTGTTGTGTAACCACTTTTTTTGTTCCAGAATTTTGTAAGTGCTAAATATTAGAACAAAGTACAATACACCAATGTATGAAACTTAATATACCTACTAAGGTATATTAGATGTTGCCTCTTTATCTATATTTCTTGTAAAAAAACCCACCCACGGAAATATATTTAATAGAAAAGGAGCTTGATTACATTATGAATATTCATTATAATTACTAATTAGTACCTATTTATACGACAGTGTAAAAAAGTGAACAATAAATGCGCAACACTGTAATTTGTAGTTCTCTGAGACTGTAGATGCTCTGACTAGGTATAATTCATTAAAAAAGTATTATATATTTTTTTTAGAGATAAGTGTATATTTAAAATCATATATACGTATATATGATACGTATAACTATGGGACAGTGTTGAGAAAAAGCAAATGAGAGGAAGTGATAAAACAAATATGTAATAAAAATTATTAAAGAATTATTAACTATTATAACTCAAATTATAAAGCTATAGATTCGCTTAAAATAATTTAGTTTTATATAAAAATAATTTACAAGCGCGTCATAAATTAATTGTAATATTTGCTCAAATATTACATCAATTGCATTTAATACTCAAAATAATAAAAAGTACTGATTACATATATATCTTGTGCAGACTGTACTTATATAAAAAAAATAAAGTATGGTGATATATAATTAAAATTACATTGTTATTTGAGAAATATAAAAACCCATCTCTGAAGGTTAGATTATGGAGTAGAGATAAACTTGATTAAAGTTTTATATTTTAAACTTGTATGTTTTTTTGCAAAGTAGATCGATACTGTAAAATTTCTTTTTTATTTAACTTGCAAAAGTATGAAACTTTCGAGACATAAGTGCTACTTGTCTTAGTTTTCCTTTTTGTTAGACGAAAACAAGCAGGTGTATTAGGTTTTCTTATCGTTATAATTTTTGGGCTCGACATTGCATTTTTCATATAATATGCAAGCTCTCCATTTAGAAACGTTACACATTTTGACCTTGTTACGACTAAATTGTTACCACCACTCAATGATTGACATATAGTTTCCGAGTAGGTGTGATGAATTTATTTGATATTTAACTTCTGGGCTTTTTTTATAGTATGTCTTAGAAATTTGCATACATTTTTTTATAGTATACATTTTTTTGTGTACATGATGATTGATTGTTTCTTTTCTCGTTAGTCTCTATTGAAACAGTACTTTTTAGCAATGCAGAATTTAATAATGCTTTTTTAATAGAAACGTGATGTAATTAAATGTATTTTAAACATTATCTAAAAAATAAAAAATAAATCATAAATATGGTATCCTTGTATTTTAATTGTAATGAAAAAATCAGTAAGTTCTCAATTTGAATAAAATTTGTTTTTATTCTTTTTTTGTTCTTATTTCGTAATTTCTGGACCCGTATATATATATATATATATATATATATATATATATATATATATATATATATATATATATATATATATATATATATATATATATATATATATATATGTCTCTGTATGTAATAGTCTCTGTATATAATATATAAGGGTAACTATGTATCGAATCAGTCCCTCACTTTCCCTTTCAATTATTTTTTGCAAAACAAAACTAAATTGGTACTTTAAAGGAGAATTAAAGTGGGTAATTTGGTAACATTGTTCATCAGTTTACTGTTTATAGAGAGTCATTGAGCCTACGCGAAAACTGAGGTCATTTTTAAACACCACTTATACCTTTATTTTTATGGTAGTTGTGTACAAAGTACATTTACGTGGTACGAAATACATGATGAGTATACCATATAGTCATATCATATAAATGTATTTTGTATATTACCAAGTATAAGATAAACCAGCAATTTGAAATAAGAATTGTCGGATATAGAAAAAGTGAAATTAAGAACTACAGTCCGAGGCCATATAATTCTCTCTACCAGATACCGCTCTACTAACATTTTTTTGTTTTTTTTTTAAAGCTCTAAATACTCGGAAAAATGATTTTTAAGACGATGGTATTACATCTTCTTTTCCTTACGGCAGCATAAGGGAGATGTATAGTCAGCAGTAGATAATTAACTGCAATGATGATTACAATTACCCTAGTATTGTAGGCCATTAGAAGTTATATTATACGACAGTCCATAACTGCTTATAATAATTTGCTCTTATAATAAAAATAGATTTGCAAACATTTTTTTTTGTAGAGATTAGTTAAATCAATCGATGAATTGGTAATGATACCATAAGTAAAGCCTGTTTATACACGCGGATCGTTAATAAGACCCCGCATGGGGCTGAGCATTTATGTAAATTATAAAATATGAGTTATTTTATCCTCTGGGATACGTAGCAAATATTGAGATAATCGTAGTAGCAGGCAAGGTTAGTTTAAGCTGATTTATTGCCTAATGTTTGAACATTCACGCTGTAGAATATCATACAAATTTATTCGTGCTAATTATCTTGATAAAATATATACCTTAATATCTCGTGGACTCTAATAGTTGATCTATGACATAGTTACATAATAGTGTGCTTATAAACATAAAAGAATAGTGACCTAGAAATTATTATTCAGTAAATAATTTGCCGCACCGAAGACTCATGGCAGTTAAGTAAAGACGTCTCGAGTGTTTGTATCGCATTGACCTTCGATGGTTTAGCAAACTTATTGACTTACGATTACGCCATAACATGTGCGCGAGCAGGACTGTGACACTTGGCTCTGAGACGCCGCGCGTCCGCTCGTCTCGTATAAACTTTTTACGTATTTAATTAAATAAGTTGCTTCTTCGTTTCAGAGCACGATAAAGAATACACGAAACGACCGCTCGACTTCGACATAGAAGAAGAGACGCGCAAAAAGGAAACATCTAAGTGGCTTGAGAGTCACTTTGGCAGCGAATCCCGTTCATCCCACGATTCCATCGCTGAAGAGATTGGACGACGACCTGAACCCGTTTTCTATGCCAAAAATAAAGCAGCAGAGGACGAAGGATACTACGGAAAGACGTCGTCTGGACCACCACCACCGGCTTACGGAGATCGAGTACTTCGCAAAACAAAGTCCTCTACACCTTCTGATGAACGGACAGTTCCCCCAGTGAATAGAACTGGAGGTTATTTTAAAGGTGTTGCCGATTGGTCACAGCGACGTGCTAGTAAGCCTAGAATGCCTGAGCCACGTAGCTCTTCTCCCTCACCACCGACTGTTCGTTCACCATATGCTAGCGATGATCGGTTAAACGGTTCATCACCCCGACACGTGTATGGGAAACGTGAATCGCCTCAAGGAAGATCGTCGCCTATCGGACGGCGTCATCCGCCTTCGCGAGACGACTCCGCCTACGTATCCTCATCAACTATGCATAGTCCACCGCGTGGTTCGCCGTTTCGCCCTTTGGAAACAGACCGTTCCTTCCGGGAACCGTCTGTAGATGACGATTATCGTCCTGTGGCACCCGAAAGAAAACGACACACCAAACAGAGGCTCTCTGAGGAACACCGTTACGACAGTGGTTACAGAAGCTCATCTCGTAATGAGAACTCGGGGCGGTCAGGTGATAGTCGTGATGAAGGAACTGCGGAACCACCTCCAGATTATTCTCCTCCAAGAGATCGCCGCAGCAGTTCCGACCGTGATCGGACACCACCGCGTCGTCGCGATCGCGAGGAACGTAAACAAAATCAAAAGACCCGTTTCGCCGATAGTGGTCGACGACCGTCTCCAGTTCGAAAATCTGTTGGTTCCGCGATTGGGAATTCTATTAGGAAGTTAGTTGGTAAAATTCGGTCAGCATCGGCGGAACGCAAAGCAAGGTGGCGTAATTCGCGCACGCCGTCGCCGGAGCATTCGTCGCGTACGTACAAACAGTACGGTGGTGAGTTGGCGCCACCGGTTGCGCCTCCACACCGCTACTACCTCGGAGAGGACCCCTTCGCGCCCAGCATTTACGGCCGAGAACATAAGTACGAGGGCAGTTCGCGACGCACTGCCACTGTTGACGCTCGTGATCACAGAGACCGGTGAGTGACACCCCCGCATTATTTCTTTAATATAATTATAGGCACGTTAGACTTTATATTGCTAACGTCGACACTGTCCTTAATTGGTAGTGCTCAGGTGCCGAGGCGAACAACGCGCTATTTCATTTGTTTATAAAAATATGTTAAATTTTATAACATTTGTAACATAATATCATAACTATAAATAACAAAATAATGCGCAAAAAAAATATGAGCCTTAAATAGAATCTTGTCCTACAACAGATCCTTACCGCCTCCTACGTGAACACTATCATAGAATTTTCATTTGAAGTAATTAAATTATAGGTTTGTCTTACAAAGATTGCCTTGCAAAGAATTTTATTGTTTTCATTATATTAATGTTGTTTTTAACACAAGTATCATAACTATAAAGAACTAAATAATGTGCAAAAAATTGGCACCTTAAATAGAATCTTGTCCTACAACAGATTCTTATCGCCTCCTACGTGCAACACTATAATAAAATTTTAATTGATATTTAAAGTATTTAAATTATAGTTTTAAGTTCCAAAAAATTTTTTAATTTTATATTATTTAAACTTTTTTAATCGAAATCGTATAAGAAATTTTAAAAAATAATTTATTATAACAAAACAATTCCTTTAGGCTACAGCAGTTTTATTTTAAATTCTCATAATTTATACTAACGAATTATATTCCTTTTTTTAATTATGAGAATATGAACAGTTTTATGTTTTTAATTATGATATATTTTATAATTATGATGGCCTCTTTGGTGCAATGATAAGACAAATAGCTATGTAAATGATGCCTCGTGTTTAATTCAGGACTGTGACAATTTACGATAAACACTTGATTATTTTTTAAGTAGAAACAATATCGTACGATTTTAGTTATAGGTCTTTAGACATCAGTGATGTTTTACAGAACCTTAATAATTAAGAAGAAATTACTGATTTATTAAGTTCAGGTGAACATAATTAATTGAATGGCCCATATTACTACTTTGTTACCTTATTTGGTAACTATTTACCATACAGGAGAAATCGAAATTATTTTCATCCTTTTAAATAATCGTATCTACCAGTGAAAGTGAATATTTTTCCAAAAAAACGTGGATTGAAAAGTGTTTAAAAATTTTGAGCTTTGATTACTAATTTTAACGCGCTGTTTTTAGCATTTTTTTGTCATTTTTAACTCATATTTCTCTGGAAATATAATCAATTACCTTTTTATTTTTGAGTAATTTAAATTTAATTTAAAAGTAGGTACCATTTTTTTAAAGAGGCATTCTATTAGTGAAATTTGTGTCCATAATAAAGTTAGCACTAGAAGCTCAAATTTATTATGACGTTTTTAGACATATGTTTATTTGACGAACATGTTCAGTTACACTTGTATAAAACACTATCTTTAAAGGATACTAATAATGTCGATTTCACTCTGTATACGCAGATAACATTAAGGAATAGGTTGTAATAAATGCCACACTATCACATTAGTTAATTAGTTCTAGAACTAGAAAGGTAAGATGTAATGGCATAACCCAAGAATATGGTCACTAGAATGCCGATAAGCTAACGGCCCACCTGATGGAAAGTAGTAACCGCAGTCTAATACTGTTACGTAAATAAATAAAACCAAACTTTATTATTCCAAAATTGGCAATTTGCACACTTTCTAGATGATGTAGTTTATTTTGCAAGTTTCGTATACCTAACTGACCAACTTACATACTAATATTATTATGTCCTATTAGAATTGTGAAATGATATTTTAAGTCAACATCAAGGCACCTATAGTTTAGTTTTTTGAAAGACAAAATGGTAAAATAAATATTTATCGAATTCAAATAAGGCAGGACGAGCGTGTTTTATCACTATTACCTATTTCGGTAGTTTATGCCGAGTTTTCCTTTGACGCAGTTAAATATTTGGTTCCTAGCTCCTTCCTTTTTTTTTTACTTAGCGTCTCATAAATAAATTTATTGGATTTTGAATACTTATTGTGTGAAATAAGTGAATTGTTTATTTTTGTTAATAGCTCGTAACAACACACACATTCGAGTTGTGATAGTACTTTCATAGATTAGCTACATCGAATTTTATTTTGTGGGTTTTAACTAATTTTCACAATAATTGAGTAACTACAAATAATTCTAATCGACTAGTAGATACATTGCCATACATCAGATCAATCAAGATTACGTTCCGGCATAATCATGCCTTTTATATCTGTTGTCGACCATGGACATAATAGGTTAAATATTTAGCTCACAAAGAAACCCTTATTTAGTTTATTGACTGACTCACATGTTGTGAGATTAAATAGTCAGTTTATTATGTACTATTATTTATTGGAACAAGCTGTATGACTCATCGCTAGGAAACATTCCTAACATGCGACAGGTGTATGCTGATTTTATGTTAATTCGTTCGATACGATTATCTTTTAATACGTATTTACTTCTATTGTTCCTTGTAGTTCAAGTAATTTAATTACTAATCCCACGTTTTAAAGTCGTTTCATATTTATAATCATCAATAGATAAACTTCTGCGCAATGGACATTCTGCCGCATTATTAAATGCTTGCGAACTCGTAAATCAGTGTTACAGCACTTCAATGTAAACAAAGAATGGTCGTTAGACGCGTGGGATGGCATATCATTAAATCCAATTACTAACGAGATTATATGTTTTTGTTACATATAAGAAGACAACAATAAAATACGTGGGTCTGATCTAAAGACGTGGATATGACAAAAAATACTTAATTGTTTTATTTTTCTTTTCAGGGGCCAATCTTCAAATACGCTAGGTCGATTCAGTCACTCAACGAGTAGACTAAACCCGAACAGCGAACCTGAAGAGGATTATACAAGAAGCGCACAGACATTGCCACGAAAATTGCACGACCGCAAGGAGAAACCCACCGAGAAGCCAAGTTCAAACAAGTATTGGCATAGACTGACTCCCAATAAACGGTCCAACAGTGCTGTAAACGTATCCAACAATATATCAACATCACCGGACGGAAAAATAAACGGATACCCGCCTGGTCCAGCAAAGCCAGCGCGCACTTATAAGGCTCTTAATAGAAGCAAGAGTTTTGCTATGGGAGCTCCAGAACAAGAAACTCATCCACGTTACGTATCCGGTATAAACCGTAACTATTCCACTATGTACAAATCTAACCCCCATCTAAGTAGACTCGATGAAACACCAGAACAGTTAAAAAGTCCAGGAATCGTATCAATAATAAATCGTAGTCAACGAGACCTTGCCGATGCTGTCTCTCGTGAAACTGAACGTCGAAAGGATGGGTTGTTCGGAGCGAGATATGGAAAAACAACACCACTGTCTAATGGACATACGAATGGATTTAGCAAATCACATGATAATACCGATAAGAAAAAGATATTCTTAAAAGGTCTTCGCGAACGTGCACCAGAATTATATCAAACATTACATGCCGATGACGAGTCAGACGGCAGTAGGCTTTCATCTCGATATGGTACACCTTCGCCGCTTTATAAAGAACGCATTAGTGAAGAACGAAAGACTCCTTTATACAAAACAGATTCTTTAAACAGAGAAACGAGTCCTTTTGTTTCGCGCTTGGAAACACGATTAAAATCTCCAGCTCTCCGACGAGGAAGTAACAGCAGCGACAACTTCTCAGAAACATACAGATATCAAACTCGCTCGGGAGACCCCGAAAGGCCAAGTATTACTGATACGGTTGAAACGGTAAGCAAGAAAGTAGTGCCATCAAGAGATGGTCGATCAAAAGAAATAATTGAATCGCGAGAAATTAATTCTGTTACTAAAAGCAGAGGCTACAAGGAGCCTATTACGAATGTTAAGTACATCGAGAACGGTATACGATCACCGCTGGGTTATGAATTAAAAAATGGTTATACAGAAAGAAGGAGTAGTAATTATAGAGTATCAGAGAAAATTAGAGATTATTAGAAATTAAAATTAAAGGGCAATAACGAAGAAACGTTTTTTTTTAAACATTGTATGCCATATTTTTTAATACTTAATATAAATAAAAGTCAAATGCAGACTGAGCCTTATGCTTTAGATATTATATATCTGAATGGTAACTGCATATTAATAATATTCTTATAACAATTCGATAATATGTAAGCAGCTTTTTGTTTTTATGTAAAAAGTCATGTAGCTTTACTAATGTTAACCTTTAATATTCTAATTCCGTCCAATGTACGAATTTTTATTTAATATAATTTAGGTAAGTAATATTATTGACAATTTATTGTGAATAGACTTATGACACTCATAATATTATATGATAATGAAAATTTGTAATAAACCATTCATAGGGATCGAACAAAGCATAGTAATTGCACTATAGTTACAAAATGTGTTTTAAAAAATGGCTTTGAAAAATACGGTAAAATTCTTGAATTGTTTGATTTACTATTTAATTGAATTTATAATATGTTATAACCTAACGAGGTTATCTATTATATTAATGATTCAAGTACCAAAACTGTATGTTAACTAAAAATTTCCTATCGATTAAAAATATTCGGTTTTACTACAAAAAATATTTATAACACTGTTTATCTAAACAGTGTTTACCAAAATGCTGGCTAAGTGATTAAATATTGTTTAGTCAATCTAATAATACCTATTTGTAAATTTATAAGCCAAAATATATAAATTATTACAATAAAATTTTATTACAACAAAACAACAATTTTTTTATGATAATAGGTTTTCTTTTGTTTAGACTAAAAGAGATATTAGACGCGCTTTTGTAGCAATACTTATAAATATGTATTGGACACCTGTCTATTGCAAGTTAATTTTTTTTGTGTGGTAAGAGGGATTAAACCTATTTTAAGATTAAAGAAGTCTTCAATCTTAGCACCTAGTGTCGTCTAAGGATTACAGATGCTCGTTCACCATCTAAATAACGTTATTCAATTGTTTTGTTTTTTTTTTTCTCAGTTTAAAGTAAGTTATTAATATTGGTCGTAATTTCTATGCTTTGTTCGTTGGACAAAGGACATAATTATAATGAAAGTGTATCAATAAAATTAAATATGTTAATTTGCAACTAAGTCTGGTGTTTTATTTTTTACTAGTTGTTTTCGGCGGTTTTACCCATTTTGATTAGAATAATAAGTATCTAACATATTACATGTAATTTATAATATGTATTAAATTTTATCTAAATCTGTCCGCTATTTTTTTTTAATGAATAATAATGATACCCTGTCTGTGTCACCGGTATATACTAGTAAGGCACCAGTGAGGGATGTTTGGTGAAGATGAAAAGATAGGTCAATTAGCCCACCGTGATGAATTTATAGATAAATTAGTCACGATGGTTGTTACCAAGTAATTGGGTCTAACCTCTCCATCACTAGCAATCTCTCCCTCTAATCAGATGTTTAGATGCAATTGCTTAATAAACATAATTTTTTTTTATAAACTTTATTTGTTTATATTTTTGGTATATATTAGCTATAAACTACGGCTTAATTTAAGTTGATGCCATAATTGAATAAGAGAAAGTGTGTTTATATGACAGATAACCACAATTGTCTTCCTATAGTTAGAAAATGTCGTCATTGATTATTCTGTAACATCGATGCATGCATGATACCTGTCTAAAAATTCTGAGGACTGACTGGCGGGGTACCAGTGAAGAATAAAAAAGCAGGTCACTTACCTCATTGTGATGAACACACGTAGAATTTAGTACGGTGGTTTACAGGGGGACCACGTGGAGGTCGACTTGACGGGGTATATTCCTAGTAATGAAAGTGGTAGTCTGCATTATTAACAATCCTTTCCCCCCGCACAATGATAGGTGTATTGCTTTGTGCAAAGTAATGGGTTTGATTTTCAGACTAGCCAATTTGTGAATCCAAAAGTTTCTAAAACGAATTAAGTTTGGGTATTTTGGTTAGGAAGTCTATTTGTTTAATTTCCTTGGATCAAATGTATACTTAAAAAGTAGAACTATATTTAGATTTATAACTTTAGTAAAATTTCATACTGTATTAACTTTGTACATTGTGATAGCGGCATCTATATATTTTAATAACCATTTTTTAGTTTAAACTATTGAAACAATAAAAATAATAAAAGTTTCCGATAGATGGCACTAAATATATTTTCCTTCGTTAGTTATTTGAAATGTGATTACATTTTAGATCAAAATATTAGGCTAAGGTCAATATTGGGTTAACGTCACATGATGATGATATTTTTATGATGATGATAAGATTACTATTACAAAAGTACATCTTTAAAATATTATTACATATTGTTAATAACATATCAAAGACGTATTTCACAATAAAATATGCTCACAATAAAAATACTTTTCAAAAATGTTTGTAATTAAGTTTACTTGAATAAAAAATATCATTATTTCATTATTAAAAAATACCTAATAATATATTTTTGAAGTTTTTTATAAGATGTAATAAGATAATCTAAAATTATGCTAATTATCATTGTCGTGTTAAGAGGATTTTCGCATTTGCCTGCATTATGCAACGAAATTACGAAGTGTTTGAGAATTTGGTTATAAATAATGTTTGAAAAACAGCGTTTTAAAATTTTTTGCTCAATATTATACAATAATTTCTTTATAATTTCTAAAGCCGTTTATTAAATAAACACATGATACAGTAGTTTGGAGGCGCAATTTATTAATTAATAAATATAAAGTTGGTATGGTATCATTATTAAAACTAGACAAATATTCTCTGAATGAAGACTACATTCTTTTTAATTCTTTTTTATTATCAATTTAAGTAAGTTAGTTTAGTTTACTCTAATTTTTTAATCTTGCTTAATCATTTCAAATGGTTTTCACAAGTGTTAAAAAAAAAAAAAAAATGTACAAAAGTCAGAGGCACCTCTGTCCCATTCGTGTCGTAAAGCAATTGTGTTTGCATGGTTGTGTTTTAATTTTTGCCATTCTAAGTTGTATGGCAACGCAAAAAAAATTATGTATAACCATGCGTAATAATAAAGTTAATTTATTTATAAACTAATATAATAAAAAACTAATCATAAGTCTCTAAGAAAAAACAGTAATAACATATGTAGACTGATATAAATTTCGTTGTGTAACTCAATGCTTGAAAATCGTACCTTTAAAAATTTATTCGACCTTTTAAATTTAAAATATAAAATAAGTATACTAATACAAAAAATTTAAACTTATCTATGTTTAAAGATTTACATCCATAAAATACTATTTTTATCTTGACACATAAATACAGTAAATTCTAGATATTAACAGAGTATCATCAAAATCTGGTCGAACTGTCGAAGATAAGAAACATTTTGATTTTGGTTGATAAATATAAGTACTCATCTGTTTTGTGAGACTGTGTCTATTGTCAATTTGCTAAATTAGCGGTTGATCTTTTATGAGCTAGTCGCTACTTTATAATGTTACGGTATAATGACCTGTTAGTATATAGCTCGGTCTCGAGTGAGCAAGACACAGTCCCGTCGGGCGTAACAAAAATAAATAATTAATTAGCTAAATATTAGAAAAAAATAAATCTAATTTTATGTAATAGAAAATCGAAAATATATTTGTTGTCACGCACCAGTGTTTCTGGAAATGGTATTTAAATTTGTGTTTCATTTTTTTTATATGTATCAAGTTTTTATAGTATTAAATGTAACTTTGTCTGAATAGTACGTAATTTTTTATATTATTTCAGGCTATTTTACGGACATGCGTATTCTTAGTAAGCGTATTGGGGTACTGTTTAGGTGCGAATATTTTATATCTTATTCCATTTACGGCGAAGTCGCACTATATAATGCAGAGGCCTATAGGCCTCGAGTTATCTTATAGAGGACATAATGTAACTGTTGTAACAGCCCACAAAGAAGTTGAACACCCACCAAATTATCACCAAGTTATGGTGGACAATAAACAGATTTGGGATGTTCTTGGTGAGTATTAAATGTTTCATTAAGTTAGAGTATTTTTTAATTTTGGATGGTAAGTATTCTAAAGTGAAAGAAAAATGAAATGGCTTTATGTCTCTTATCACAGATTTAGATTAGAAATTATCAAACTAGAAATACCAAGACTAGTCTGTATAGTCAAACAGACATAGCCTGATATATTTGGAAAAAGATAAGATGAATATGGAAAACAAGTTATGCGGTTTCATATATTTTATAATACATATGTATTCTTTGGAAGAGTAAAAGGATTCTTACTCGTTAAGATTAATTCCCAATTCCATTAAACACCAGTAATTTTCATTAATAACATGGGATTTAAAATTTCCAATAATCCACCATAGTTTTCTTACTCACTTTATATCTATTTAAGTACATTTAATTAAATTTTGATTATGTTATCTCTGATTATTATGGCTAAATTAAATAGGCCGATGAATTAAAAGACGAGGAAAGGATATAAAAATATTATTTAAATAAATTTACAGGTATTAAACGTCCGAATGTATTTACAATGGTCGATATGACGTCTGAAGAATTTCACAAAAACATACTTTGGTCCGGTGGGCTAGCATTCACGGAAGTGGCTTTAAATTCGAGCGAAGTACAGAAATTTCTTAAGCAAGATCACACATTTGACTTGGTAATATCGGAGCAGTTTTTTCAAGAATCTATGTATGTTTTGGCCCACAAATACAATGCTCCTTTAATATTGATAACTACGTTTGGAAATTGTATGCGTCATAATATTATCTCAAGAAATCCACTGCAGCTATCCACAGTAGTATCTGAATTTCTTGATGTGAGAGAACCTATGAGTTTTTGGGGTAGAATGAGGAATTTTTATTTCACATTATACGAGTTTGTTGTATGGAAGTATTGGTATTTGGAGAAACAAGAGGCGTTAGTAAAGAAATATATACCAAACTTGAGGGAACCAGTTCCTAGTTTGTATGATATACAGAAAAATACTTCTCTGATGCTTATAAACGGACATTTTAGTTTCGATAATGCCGCTGCTTACGGGCCTAATATAATTGAAATTGGTGGGTTGCATTTAACTTTAACAAGAAGTAATGTGTCACTGCCGAAGGTGAGTCTAAACACTTTTTCCTATTATTTACCAAAATTTATTTATTTCCTTATCTATCTAGTGTTTTATTTACTATATACGGTTTGCCATATGGTCTCAGTAGAAAATAGGTCACAATCCTGATTCATGGGCGTCGTAAGAGGCGACTAAGAAAATTTCAATGGTCGAGGGCTGGATAGCAACGTCCCTCTTAAAATATCACCAGAAGCTAATTGCAGTTGCCGACCCGCCTGGAAAGCATGGCAACTATTGGCTGACAACAACTACTGACTGTAAAACCCTGAAAGGGGAGGCCTATGTTCAGCAATGGGCAATAGACGGCCGATATGATGACAATGATAGATAACAACATTCATAATAGAATGTTCCTTTCTGTGTTTTTACAGATTTATTACATTAAGAAATGTCTATTTATTTAAAGTTGACGTCTAGACACTTATGTAATCAATTATGATCGTCTTATTTTATTTATGCTACATAAATAAAATATATATGTACATAATTAATTTACAAAGCATGGGTGTATATGCCCTCATTTTTCACATACAAATTCATCAGGAATGAAAGGTTCTGGAAACCGTACAGCCGGAACTGACGGCCAATCCAACAAGGTCCCTTGTGGGGAGATCAAGATTTACTAATAGAGATTGATGGTTCTGTATGCTTATGATATACTCTGATCAGAGTATATCATATATTAACAGAAAACATAATATCTTAGTTTAAGACAAAGACAACCCTAAATAAAACTTTGTATATTGAGTCCTTTGGGCAACAATCAGAATGGGTTGTTGTAATATCTACTCAGTTTTATTATTGCCAGGGAAAACCGTGTGAAATTTAATTTTCGCTCACACAAAAATAGAAGAGAATAGACTCATTTTCAAGTTCTTTTTCATCACTGATTTTTTATTTTTTTTCTGGGTTTGGAATATTGTTATCTGCTGAAAAAGAATCCGCAGGAAACGCAATAACTGTTACTCTTTTCAAATTATTTTATAATAAGTTTATATTAAAAATTATTTGGTATAATTTAACTAAAGTTTTATGTTCGTTATCATTGCGTTCGACTTTACAAGTATTTTAGAGAGCTCAACGACCCAGCCTGTTGTTGTTATCAGAATGACTTGCATCATTCTGATAATCAAATATAAATATAAATACTTACATACAAATTACTTCAGTCTTAATTTTCTTTTACTGGTAATTTTCTGAAATTTAGCAAACAATGATATCGTAATAATAGTAGCTTATGATATGACAGTTTAGAATTATACATCTAACCTATACAAATGTATAATATGATGTACATATACCAGTTATGCGCAGTCAGGGCTATTATTATTAATGACGAGTCGAGTTTGGATACTTCACTGTAAGTAATCTTAGCGTGACTATGTTTTATACTCCTATTTAGAGTTCCGTATGTGATAAGGAAGTAACCTTTTCTATTTGTCTTTTCGTACAAATGTCTTTTTCATACAACTCTTCTAGAACAAATTCTATTTTGCAAAGTTGCAGAGATCGTGGTATAATTTAGTTAGGTTTACTAAGAAGAAATTTAAATGAATCTAACTTTATAGCATTTAGATAAATGTAAAAAATGTAAATGTTTTTTATACAACTTAAAATGTCAAACAAGCTGACGGCTTATCTGATGGAAAGTGGTAACCGTAGCGTATAGACATGAGCAGTACCATGGATATAACAGAGTATACTGTTTCGCCCATGACACCCCCCATGCGTAGCCATTCCTGAGGACTCGGGTATTATTCCTCTGTACCCTGTTAATTCACGCCATATCTCACCCTTCAAACCGAAACATAGCCATGCAAACACAACTGCTTTACGGTTGAAACATGAATGGGACAGAAGTACCCAAGCAAATGACTTTTGTACAAAGTCTCCCTCTGGTAAGCTTGTAAAGATATTTGTACGTCTGTGCTTGTTATTTAATCAGGCGTTTTACGCCTGATTAAATAACTATGCAAACCGAAATAAAAATTGTTAAAAAGATGAGATTGAATACGTTTTAATTTAATTCACATAGATTATGAATTATCGATATTATAAACAATCCTATATGGTAAGTTGTCAATGTAAGATTGGCCGGGAGATAATAAAAACCATTTAGCATTGTATATATATATTCCGGATATTAATAAATTACTAGTCACTTGTAACCCCAATTATTGATATAACTTAAATTAGGAAATTAAGTTTATTTGTGTTAAACTATTTTTAATTTCTTATTATTTCCAGGATCTTCAGAATCTTTTAGATGGAGCAAAGAATGGAGTAGTTTATGTAAATTTTGGTTCTAATGTGCGCAGTTCAGAATTACCAATCGATAAAAAAAATGCATTTTTAAACGTATTTAGGCGGCTCAAACAGACTGTTATTTGGAAATGGGAGGAAGACTCTTTAGAAAACAAGCCAGATAATTTATTTATAAGGAAATGGTTACCACAAAAAGAAATTCTTTGTAAGTACACTGGTTCTTTACTAATATATATTATGTAAACTAAACTATTAACATGTTTAAGCTATAGTAAAAAAGGAAATTGCTAAATAATCGAAAAAAAGCTGTAATAAAAGAAAACAAGGCACTAGAAGTGATGTGACGTTTATTCTTATGCGCATATGCATAGATTACGTTCTTTTTTTATGATTAAAGGTAAATTAAGTTTGCGATTAGAATACTGGAGAAGATACCGATGTATAACTTAAAAAGAAAACATATAAGACTCTATCAATTAAATGTGTAACATGCGGAATGGAATTTTTAAATTAAGACATTTAAAGTCTTTGCATGTCAATAATTATTTCCGCTACTACTAGTATGGGTGCGACTATTTCGTTTCAGATTGCGACAGTCTGCGCGCTAAATAGTCAATATTAAACTCCAAGCTTGTCTCGTTTTGAGGTCAAACACATTATGCTTTCCAAGCCATTGCTACCTTTTGAGATTTTGAAATACGTGTCAAATTATAAGTATATCTAAATTTAATAAAGGTCAGAAATTCCTGATTAACAGGGAAGGTGGACAATAATTAATACTGGTCAGTCGTTAGTATCAAATATTGGTAGTTGCTAACATACTAATGGTGGCGTAATTAAACAAAATAGTCGTGTAACGATTGAATGATTTTGATTGCCACTGGTACTTTCTTCATAAAAAGTGTCAAAAAGTTTAGTTTAGAAATAATTATTCTAGAGACAGATGTTATCATCCTTACATATTTGTAGATCACAGACGTAAGGTAAATAAAAGATATCTTACTAAGTATAACTAGAAGTATATTCCGTGTGTATATTACATATATTTTGTTCTCGTGGGTACTAAAAATTATTCATACAATAGTTGAGCTTAAGTCATATAATAGATATTTGAGCAAACAAGTTTCTATACTTGAGTATAAATATTATGTTTTTGCTGAGAATTACTTGTTAGCTCAGTTAGTAGGTACACTTCTTTTTAGAGAATATGTACTATTTTATTGCATGTAAAATTGTAAAGGATGACAGTTTTATTATTAGGCTAATTTTGAGAAACTTAATTCTCGCATTTTAATCACAATGTTATACCTTGTAGTATTAATATCATATTTTACTCTTCCTTTTTTAATTTTTTCTTCATTAATTCTTACTTTTTTTTTTTTTATTATTAATTTTTAGCGCATCCAAACATTAAGGTGTTCATATCACACGGTGGATTAATTGGAACACAAGAAGCTATTTTTCACGGCGTCCCTATTGTTGGGATACCAATTTACGCAGATCAGTTCAATAACTTACTTCAGGCCCAAGAGATTGGTTTCGGTCGAATATTAGAGTATCACAGTATTAATGAAGAAAATCTATGGAATATTCTTAATGATGTATTAAAAAGTTCTTCATATAAAAATAAAGCTCGAGAGGTTTCGGCTAGATTTAAAGACAGGCCAATGAGTGCTATAGATACAGCTATGTTTTGGATCGAATATGTTTTAAGAAACAAAGGAGCTCCTTATATGAAAACACCTGGTCTTAAATTAAATTGGTTTGCGCATCATATGCTCGATGTTTATGCGTTCATTTTCACATTATTTATTGCATTAATATTTGTAATAAAAATTATAATTAGTACAATTTTGTTTAAGAAAGAAAGTCCGAAGAGAGAAAATAAAAAGAAATATAATTAAGAAATTGAGAATGTTGGTATCCTAACTGCGTTAATATTGTTTTTAACGTAAAGGTATTTTTATTTTTTTATTTTGTGAACGGTGGGAAAAATCATGCAGTACTTTTACAATTTCTCAAAAAAAATTTGAATTATTTATTTATGTTCATGTGATACATTAATGTGGCATTAAAACGTCGTCTGCAAGAAACATTGCATGTTACCTGTGTGTACATGTGTAATTAAGCAAATATTTGAACGAAACATTGGTGTTTGAACAGGGTGTATGGTCGAGCGCACCGCTTTTGTCCACTGTATGTGGCGGGATTGTAATGGGTTGGCTAGGACTTATGAATTCCAAATGCAGAGGCCTTGACTCCACTATTGCATCACCTTGTTTCCTTTTTCATGGGTTCGGGTAGACTTTTATCTTTTGTGTCTGTGTATGTTGACATTAGTTTGTAGCTTCCTTTTTTGCTTGTTTTGAATATACACTTTTTTTTTGTAAACAAAACACGGTTACTTTTACAATATTAAATAACGTTTAAAATGTACTTAGAAAATAATTTAATAATTATTACAATTGTGAAGTTATAAGAAAAATTATTTAAGAAAAACTTAAAGGGAACATAAAAAATACTTTTGAGATATATTGTAAACACATTATTAGAAAATTAAAAATTACTATATAAACATTAAATCAAATCTCCAAGAAATGGCAGAAGTAAATTTTAGAACAGAAGGAGACTTTTAAAATTCATATTTACTGCTGAAGTTTGCCAAAGATTTCTAATAATTCCTTGGGGACAGATTAAATTAATAAATTGAGTATTATATTCTTAGTATGTAAATAATATTTCTATATAATAAAGAATCTATGTTTATTCATGAACGATTAATTTTTAATTCTGTAAAGACTCGAGGAGATTTGAGTGTCATAGATTCTTTATTTTGTTATAACTACCCATAGTAGCAACAATAACAGTGAACAAATAATAAATTTATTATATTAATAAACATACTTTTATGGCTGTGTTGATACTGATAGATATTATTTTATTTTTTGTGAATTACATTATTGGCACTAATTTAAGTAGTCTTTTAAAAATGTACAATTTGTTAATAGATTTATAATACATGTATTATGTGTTTGAAATAAAACTGACAAAAAACAAACTTCTTTATGTAATTTCAAAATTCATACAAATGCTGTTTTTTTACACTACTATAGTGGCAAACAAACATACGGCTAGAGTTGTTAAAAGGCTCGAGTCTCCCGAGTCTTCGACTCATTCAAGGCTTGAGTCTCCTATGAAGGCTCGAGCTTTAGCCTCGAGCCATATTGCGAAGGCTCGAGCCCAATCTCGAGCCCTAGTTCCAAGGCTCGAGTCGCGACTCGAGCACTGTTTTAAAGGCTCACTATACAACATTGTGCTCCAAAATGAATCTTATAAATATGTTATTAAAATAATGTATTTTTATTAATTTCACTGCTTAATAACATATTTTAATTACAATTTTGTACCTCGTCCTATAGAGAAAACTAAACGCGCCGATCCAGTGTTACCACTAGTTATTAGAACTACCCATATTACTATTAATATTAATCTAATAATTACTTGTATACGCCTCGTATATATTGGTAGATTTTCTTCAACCATTTTATAAAGCCACTGTTATGCTTTCCAAACATAACTATCCAAGTTTTTGTTATGTAGTGCCTATACTTGATGTTTTAACATAGCATCTTCTTAACAGACAAGATGGACCAATGAAAAATTGTGCATCGGCCATGATCGAAAAATTAAATGAGTACTCCGAGTTTTTAAACAATGATTTGGCTCAACTTGCCGTTCCATTAGACCCGCGACTTAATAACAATTATTCTATAGCAAAGAACAACACCCAACCATTACTCAACTTAAAAACCCTTTATGACAAGCTCAAAGATCAAAATATTTTAAATATCTTGTATATACAAGAATTGAGAAGAGACAATTTGTCAACAGATAATTATGAACACAGTAGCTGTAAAGAAGTTAACCCAGTTAAAAAGAGTTTATTTGCATCCGTGTACATGTACAAGCAACCGGAGAATATAAATGTCGCTGATGAAGTGGATAGATAGATAAATATGGCTATTGAGCCTGAAAACACAAATGTAGTAATGTGGTGGAAAAAACAAAATGAATTATCTTTGTCAACCTTGGCTCAAATAGCATTTAAAGTTTTGTCTATACCAGCGATAAGCGTTCCTAGTGAACAAGCCTTTTCGAAGTCAGGTAATTTAATAACAAAAAAAAGAAACAGGCTGAGCAACAAAAATATTCGGGCATCAATGCTTATCGTCATGGTTAAAAATCGAATAATCATTCACTATATAATAAAGTTTTCTTATTTTCTATCTTTTTATTTCATTTTATACGTATTCATCACAATTAAATAAAAATATTTCATTTTAATATTATCAGGTATATAAATAAAACTCGAGCTTCGACTTGAATCCTTTATTTAAGACTCTTGAGCCTTCAAGACTCGAGCCTTTAAGATTTGCGAGCCCTCAGAGCTTGAGCTTTGAGGACTCAGTAGCTTCAGTAGCTCGAGTTTCCGCCTCGGAGCTCATTTCTCACAATACTACATACAGCCCGTCTAATGGTAAACAGAGTTACGGTATCCTATGAACGTCTGTAAACACCAGGGATGGACGCGGGCGTTGCCGACCCTTAAGACATTTTAATATGCCCTTTTTGAAGAACTCCGTGCTGTAGTCTCTAGGAAAAGCCTTGGCAGGGAGATCATTCCACAATCTGAGTGTTTGCGGGAGGAAGCTCCTCTGAAACCGCACTGTGTGTGACTATTCTAATCCTCAGATGTAAGGATGGATTCCCTGCCGCTAGCGATCGATACGATGGTAAAAGGTATATAGGCTGTAGGCATTATATCGAAGAGTTCTTCAGAACACAATTTGTTACACAGGCGGTCGAAGATGCAAAGAGAAGTCTCGCCTTAAATATGGTGGCTCGATAAAAAAAACTAAGCTGGTATCCTAGAGCTTCCGCCCACAAGTGAGAACAGTACTCCATATGGAATCGATATATAACTTTTTTTTTTATACAACTTATAATGGCAAACAAGCTGACGGCCTACCTGATGAAAAGTGGTAACAGTCGCCTATAGACATGAGCAGTACCATAGACATAACAAAGTATACTGTTTCGCCCATGATACCCCCATACGTTGCTATTCTTGAGGACTCAGTTGTTATTCCTCTATATCCTGTAAATTCACACCAAACTGAAACACAGCCATGCAAATAGAACTGCTTTACGGTTGAAACATGAATGGGACAGAGGTACCCAAGCAAACGACTTTTGTACAAAGTCTCCCTCTGGTGAACTTACATAATAGCAGTCTCTGTCCCAAGGTGAAGTACTGCTTCGCTTTATTTAACACTTCGAGTTTTTTGGACGCCAGCTTGACATTGTCCTCCAAGCGATTTCGGAACTCAATCGTATTGGAAATGTCGACTGTGTAAATCTCATATCGAAATGTTACAGTTGTTCTTATTTTTTAGAAATTGTATTTTGTAATCCGTGTATTATAGTATGATACAGATATAAACATAGCATACGGATTTAGGGAAGCATTTATTTTGAGAAAAATTGACATTAAATTTTAATTTAAATTAAAATGAGTAATAATTGCTAAATATCAGACGTACAATGTATAAAATCTTGTAAAAAACGAATTCGCGTCTGTTTCTCTGCTTACTTCTAAGTTATTTTAATGATTTTATTAAATTACTTAAATACATCTTTTACATTTTTTCAATAATATAATAATAAATTTAACATATTTACGCATTAGTTTAATACGGTCGCTTGGCTCATTAGGAGTTTGCAATTAAAACTTTAGCATCTGACGTGCATTCAGCGAGGCATTACGTCAATGAGAAACATTCAGGAAATATGGTCTATAAAAAATCGTTAAAAACTGTGTCACTGCAAAATTGTTGTATTCAGTTATAAAAACAAAGTACATTAAAACTTTGTCGGTTGAATACAGAAGTGGAGTTGTAATTTCAAAGAATAAAAGTATAATAATGTAGACATTTGAAGTTACACAATTATGATTTCCATGATGTCAAGATAGAAATCTTAATGGTATTTAGGCTACATATTTTTATGGCTTTTATTTCCCTTATCATACTCCGATTTTATTCTAGAATTTAAAGAAATAGTAAATACTGCAATGTTTCTTTGTTAAATTTGTTTAATAATTTTACTGAAATAATGATTTTTTACCGCATTTATCAATATTTTAGCAGTCGATGCGGTTTTTCGCATGTTGCTTAAATTAATTTTGTCGCGATTGATGTTGCTGTTTTTTTTTTGCAGAGTATAGTTGACTTGTATTATTTTTCATTTTATAACAATTAATTATTTTTTTTATACAACTTACAATGGCAAACAAGCTGACGGTCCATCTGATGGAAAGTGGTAACCGTCGTCTATAGACATGAGAAGTACATGCATGACAGAGTATACTGTTTCGCCCATGATACCCCCCATGCGTTGCCATTTCTGAGGACTCAGGTGTTATTCCTCTGTATCCAGTAAATTCACGCCATATCCCACCCTTCAAACTGAAACACAGCCATGCAAACACAACTGCTTCACGGTTAAAACACGAATGGGACAGAGGTACCCAAGCAATTGATTTTTGTACAAAGTTTTCCTCTGGTAAAATTAATTAATCATGATATATAAATGTATCATATCATATCAACCGTTAACTGTCCACTGCCGAAAACATATTGTCTTTTCCCATTAGGGGGGTTTTACCAGTAGTTACCACGTTTGACAGGCGAAAAACAGTTTGACAATCGTATTTAGGCTTTCGTGATGGTTTAAAAGGGACACTGCTGCTCATCTCTAGACCATTAGATTCCCTTAGTCGCTTCTTATGACACCTACGGGAAAGGAAAGGATGGCTCATTCTATACCAGAATTTATTATGGGAGATTTGAAATATAAATAATTAAATTTAAAAAAAAATATTAAAAAATGTATTATTTGAATTAATATAAGATTTTATTATTTTTAATCACGCAAAATTTCCATTAATGTTTGGGTATTATGGTGTATTTATTTTTGTTATCTGAATTCATGTAAATATGATAAAGTTAGAATGTATTGTTTTGCATCAAACAAAGCACCCATGTCGTCTACTTTAGCCCGGCAAATGTTATGCAGGCTTTTTGTTTGTTGTAAAAAGTTCCTCACAGTTGTCATAATGTTATGGGATTGAATAAGAAATTTTTGGTGTAATGATGTAAATATTTATATACCATACTTAAAGTTTTATCTTTAGTTGCAGCTACAACTTTCTTTGCTTGAACAACTTCCACCCTCGAACATTATATCGATTCCTTTCAGTTTCTCAAAGGTTGACTCGTAAGAGATTCCACTATTAGATAAGTCCGCCGTTGTATGTTAAAT